CTACATATCTATACTTAATTAAAAGGCTAAAACTATAAAAGTTCATTTCAAATTTTATACTGGGTTCTGAAAAATGACAACACAGTTTTACTGTTTCACTCTTCACCTGAAGTAGAAGAAAGCAGTGAGAAGAAGCAAATGACCAATGATCTACAGGAAGTACTGCTAAAGCTACAAAAATAAAAAAAATAAAGATGTGAACTACAACGGTCTCAAACATTAAGAATGGGTGTTTCATGTTCAGTTGATGTGAAGGCAAAGACCTTCATCAGGTTTATGATCTGATTGTAATGAGTTGAAACTGATCACAAAATTAAGAACCATTTCTTTCAACAGATGGTGGCTGGGACCAGAGCTGGGTCCCATCAAAACTTATTGGCACACATTCTGGGACAATGTGACATCAACTTTTTCATTATCAATAGGAACTCCTACAGTGATTAGTGATTGAATTACTAACTATTATTCGAACCCAATGAGAGTACAGTTTGTAATTTAGACCTCAACGTGAACACTTAGCCTTACCGACCCAAGGTCAAATGTTTGTGCACACTTCTAGGGTTCAACCATCTTTTTATTTCAGCTGATCCTCCTATCAAATGATTCTTATTCCTCAAAGAAATGCAGGATGAAATGACAGCTGATAGATATTTATCAAACATTAAATTATCTGTGTGTTTATTATAACCTGTTTCTTATAGTTATTGAAGCATTTCAACATTTTGCCTAATAAAAACATAAAACTTCTAATTCATTCGAATGTTGTTGAACGCATTGTTCCAGTCAATGCAAACAGATAAGGGTAGGACTTGTATGAAATCTGCTTGATTTGGATTCAAATCTGGTGAAATTAAGTTTTTCAGCATTTGTTGAGTTTTTTCTGTTCCATTTGGCCCAAACCAACCTCTACCACCAGTCCCTGTCAATCAATCCATCTCTAACCAACAGCATCAGAGAACAAATTGTTTAATAACGCTGGTTTTGGTTGTGGTTAGGTATGCTGGGTGTTACACAGGAAGTTGTTTTCATTGGTCAGTTCATTTGACTGGATGCTGCAGAAATCCATTATTTGCTGCTTGTTTTAGAGTCAGGTCAGATGGGCAGGAGCTTGAGCAGGGAGGTCCAGACCTCCCACCTCTTCCAGCCTCTGAGAGGACTCCAAGCCCAGCTGTAAGACAGAGTCTCTGCAGAGTGTCCTGGGTCTTAGCCGGGGGCTATAAGCAGACCCACAGCAGCCCAACACCTCTGATCATGACCTCAAATCAATATCGGACCAGGTCCAGCACCTCTCAAGGTGACTGGCTCCAAAGCCCACAGTGAGGTCCGCTTGACTGTATTTAGTCAGTAGATCCCAACCTCACACACAAACTCAGGCTCCTCCCCACCACAGGGCTTCTGGTCCATGAGGCAAGAGTCAGCTGCAGGTCTGATGCTGAAAATCTCTCATCCTTTAAATGCCACATTGTTTTATTTATTTTTGTTTTACTGTTGTTTAACCAGACAAACCCCACTGAGATCACTGATCTGTTTTACAAGGGAGGCCTGGGCCTGGAGAAAACCCACACAAGCACAAGGAGAACATGCAAACTCCCCAAGGAAAGACTGCAGTTCTGACCCACATATCAAACCCAGGACCTTCCTGCTGTGAGGCATCAGTGCTAACCACTGATCCACTGTGCTGTCATTGTGACACTTTGAGTTGAAGGCTGGTACCCCGCTGAGATCAGCTTTTTATTGTAGCTCCTTAATCATGAAATCAGCTCTTTGTGCACATTGTGCACGTTAGGCTAAATGCTTCTTTTTTATTATTATACATTTATTTGTTTTGGTTTTAATGAATTTTTTGGTCTTTTGTTCTGTACAGCAAATCAGTGTCAGTCTTTTCAAAATGTGAGGTTTGATTCACTACTTAATTACTGAAAGAAGCTTATTTATGACCCCGCATGTGAAGCCAGGGTCATATTGGTTTGGTACAGTTTATTTATTGATTTATTTTTTATTTATTTATTTTTGGTCAACTGTATCACAGAAACAGCTGCACCGGTCAACATGAACTGAGTCAGGACTGTAGATGAGTCTGACCTACACTGCAC